CATATTTCGACATATTCACATTTGAATTTACTTTTCCTATCGCACCCCCATGTCACCATTTTTTTTTGATGGATCAATTGTTTTGCATTGTCAGATGTTCCATGATGAACATATTTGAACAAAGTAGAACACATTATGGTCTGAAGCTCATAGTTTGTACAATCTGTTATAGTCGAAGTAAACGGTAAACTTGCCGGCACTCTCAAAGGCCAAAAAACCAATACATAGAAATGAACCGGCTACGATTGAGTCCACATGGACTGAAGAGTTGACGGTTCATATTGGATAATATTTACTAACCGAGTTATATGATCGGCTGAAGAGTTATAAAATCAAATTTGAAATCATTTTACGGTGACGAATATAAATCGGGGAATGCGGGGATGGTTAACGTCGTTGTGTTCAGTTCAGGAACTGATCGCGATTTGAGTGTTGAAATTCGATCTTGGTGCAGTTGAAATTACTTAAAATTTTTGTTATCTGTTAAAAATGTGGCGTCCTTGGACAACTACTAATAGTAATAACGAGTGTGATAACAACACAAACTTTTTTCAGTTTGTAATTCCAATAGCGATGGTGAATAATGCGAAAAAGAGATAACAGTGAATAAGATTCGGATGCATTTGAATATTGAAAAACAGAGAGTATGTTTCAATGTAAATAAGAATCTACATCTCAAGTTTGGTTTCGAGGGAAATAAACTATTACAAGCATTATCAGATTTGACCTAAATTCCTTTCTCAACTGTACATGAAATAGTCAAAAACAAACCTACTGAACGCAAAACGCGATGTGATACAGGATTAGCAAAACCTTAAGATGTTCATCTAGTGAAATTATTGAAAAAAACAATATACGACTGTTACAAAAGCAATGAGATTCCCACAACTGAAATCATAAGGAAGAAATTGAATACTTCCGGCTATAACGTGAGCTGCTGTGACAAAACTCTTCAGAATTAAATGAAGTAACTAGGATATAGATTTAAAATAATAAACAAACGTCAAGCAGTTATGGATAGCAAAAAAATAGTGGAATTGCGTGACAAATACTTAGAATATATAACTGAATTCAGACAAGAACAACGGCAAATTTCCTATTCGGACGAATCTTGATATGACACTCACGACACAGTTACAAAAGGGTGGACTGATGGTTTGAAAATGTGTACGCCTAACATGCCTGCAAACAAAGAATCATCGTGCATTGCGAAGGAAGTAAAGGATTATACAATAACGATTACCTACCAGGTGAAGTTACAATTAGTGTTTCTGTTTTTGTGAATTCTTGAGAAGCAATGGTTTATACGCTTCGAAAACGGATTAAAATAGTAAGTTTGTACTACCAGAATGTAAATAGTGCTAGAGCTGCTGCCCGTATGTTCAATAATAATTATCCAGGAAGAAATGTACGACACAAATACGTTTCGGAATTATTGAACAAATTTATGGAAATTGAATCTATTAACAGTAAAAACCATAATCGTTCAGGAGTTGTCAATGATGAAGCTATTTGTACTGCAGTTTTAGGGCACGTTGGACTGAAAGAAAATTCTCAATCTCTTACTCAATAATCAGGAATCAGTCCTACAACAGTTCTCAGGATCCTTCATAAGTACAAATTTCATTCATATAAGACTAGTTCATGAATTGAACGGAAATGATTTCGATAGACGTATCGAGTTTTGTGAAAGTCTCACTGAACGGATCAACTTGCATCAGAATTTCTTGTATAAAATTTGTTTTTTGAATGAATGTACGTTTAGTTTCAATGGAGAGGTGGAGCGGCAACATTGTCGATATTGAAGTGATACGAATCCTCATTTATACCGTAAAGTTTATACCTAACGACCTCAAAAACTGAATGTTTGGGCAGGAATTTTAGGTGACCACATCATAGGTCTTTTTTTATCGATGATAATTCGACTAGTGATAAATATTTTGATATGTTGGAGAATCGAATAATACTATGCACCAAAAGGGCAATTGAGAAGTATATAAATTTATTCGAAAACGAAATAGTTTTTCAGCAGGATGGTGCATCTCCCCATTATGCTGCTCCAGTGCGACAATTCTTTGGATGATCATTTTCAGAATCATTTGGCAGAAGAGATCTTATTGAATGGCCACCAAGTTCTCCGGATCTCACTCCTGTAGATTTCTCTCTATGGAACATTTGAAGTCTAAAGTATATGAGATAGAATCAACAACATTATAAGATTTGAGAGAGAATATCATGAGACATTGCTGAGAAATAACTCCCGAGATTCTCAACCAAGTGAAGGCGGCAATGGAAGCTCGTTTGTACCATTGTATGGAAGTTGGTGAAAACATTTTAGAACATTCACTAAAGAAATTTTTTTTTCTTCTCATTGTCCAATCATCAGATTTTGATTGAAGAATTAATAAAAAATCTCCTTTTCTGATTAATTGCTTCCATATTTTTCTCTAGAGCGAATATTTCGAAATGTGGCCCCCTATATAATTGCTACCAGCTTTTTTATTTTTCCTGCAAATCATTGTTTCAAAAGTTATTCAGGGTGGCTCGTTTTCAACTCAAATGATCTGTAGCTCCCGAACCATAAGCTTCAGACCATATGTTTTATACTTCATTGGAATCTGTTCATCATGGAGCATCTGATAATGCGAAACAATATAGGGTGATCCATTTTTAAAAAATGGTGACATGCTCTGAGTGCAGCAGGGGAAGTAACATCAAATGTGAATATGTCAAAATGTTTCCGCCTTGTATACTTTTGTTGACGTGTTTTTTTATTTTTCCTGAAAATAAGTACAAAAGTTATTCAGTTATTATATATATATATGGATGTCACG